TGTGCGGTGCACCGGCGTTCCGGCCTGCTGTTTCTTCTGCGTTAAGGCCCGGCGCTCTCTTCCTCGCCGAGTTTTTCTCGTAGAATTGCTGCAGGACAAAAGAAAAAAGCCAAACGTGTAGAGAAAGGGCAGAGGAAGCCGAGTGAAAGCTGTTGGTGTACTCCACGGTGTGGTCTGTAACAGGACTGTTGTCTTGACCTACTTCCTGAACCACTCGCAGTGTGCTCAGGAGACTCAAGGTGAACCAAGCAAGGTTTGAGAGTGTTCAGGGTTTTCTGCAGCGTGTCAGTCAAGTTCATGTCAGTGTCACCACGGTGTAGTTGCTATTGGGAATGTGTTTTGAAGTATCTCAGTTCTCGGTCACCATCATGCAAAGCATCTTTGTGGCAGTCCTGATGTGCTTGTGTTGGCCTTTAGTGCTGAGGGAGTACATCTCACCTGGAGTCAGTACATTTCATTGAGACTGCCCAGTGTGTGCTGCAGAGAGGTCTGTACACGCTTAGCCAGAGGCTTATCCTTGGTGTGCTGCACTGGGAAGTGACAAACAAGCCTATAGGGAAATACAGATGATTCTAACATCCTAAGGAAGTGAGAGCTGAAGAGGGAGTATGGACCGAAAATCATTCTGGTTAATTGTGCCAGGAAAGATAGGCTCTAGCAATCCAGGAATGTACACACTACCTAATCCAGGAAGGTGTAGGAAAATTTCACATTTTGTGGGTAAAAGGTTGATCTCTGCAGCATATTGAGGAGAAAATGCCACTTTTGATGGCTGTGTTTTACGCAGAGCTGTTTGGCACTGTTGGTACCTCTTGTATTTCACTTGTAAGTTTACCTAAATTCCTTATTTTTCCCAATCCCAGCTGCTCAGTAGAAAAGCTGCAGAAAGATCTGACTTCTATGGAATAGGAAGAGAAGTGTTATGATCCTCTAAAATCTGTACATTTCCTTGCAGGAAATCATGACTTGTTGACTGTTGCATTGACATACACAATGCAAGGAAGGGAAATAAGAATGCCCAAAACATGCTCAGCAGAAAGCTGCTTGAGTTTTGCTGACGCTCTGGTTATGTTAATTTTGGGATCAAAATGCTGTATACAATTTCCTTGGATCATTTTTAAATTGAAAGAAGCTTGTGTTAATTTTTACTTGTAAAGTTTTTTCTTCCCTTTTTTAATGTAAGAAAGAGTAGAGGTTTGGTACATTGTTGTCTGTGCATCTCCTGAGGATATTGTCTGATTCCTGGGAGACAGCCAGCTCCACATTACTTCCCCTGAAGCTATTCTTATGTTGCCTCTAAAAGCCGTTTGTTGGGAAAGTAAAGGTTTCTTTTCTTGCAGGGAACCAGCTCTCTGATGTTCTTCAGCTGTTGGAGGTTGGTCTCTTTTCTTGACTAATGGGGGATTGGATCTCACATGACAAATGAGCAAAATCCTCCTGTCTCACCCGGGAGTCTGAAAAATGCAGCGACGACGGATTTCTATGACCCCAAAGCACCAGAAAGGCCAAACTGATCTCTCTTCTTGGCGAAAAGGAGGGACAACTGACCCTGAAAAAAGTTTAAAGATTCTTCAATTTGCTGATGGTGAGAAAAATGAAAGTCAGGAAGTTTCCCTGGAACAAGCTTTGAACTACTTTGCAAATGGTAAGAGCATTTTTAAGGTTAGCTATTTAGGATTGAAAAGATAATCACAGAATCCCAGAATAGTTTGGGTTGAAAGGTACCTTAAGGATCATCCAGTTCCACCCCCTGCCATGGGCAGGGACATCTTTCAGTAGCCCAGGTTGCTCAAAGCCCCATCCAGCCTGGCTTGAAACACTCCCAGGGATGGGGCAAACACAACTGCTCTGACAACCTGTGCCAGTGCCTCACCACTGTAACAGTAAGGAATACAGATACAGGAATAAGTAGGGACAGTTCAGAGAAGCCTAAAGTTCATTTTCAGTTCAGAAGTTGTTTCCTTCTGTGTTTGTCCTATTTTTCTTTCCTAGAGCGAGGCCGTGTTTTGCTGAACAAGAGCAGTGTACTGCAGAAACACTTGGCTGCTGTGGAAACCATTGGCCTGCAACAAGGGCTGCCACCTGAGGGGTTTGAGATACTGCTGAGTGTGGCACTCAGTGGCAGATTTGGTAAAATACATGTATTACATACTGCTGTTATATTTTCTGTGAACATCTCTATCCCCTCTAATCAAACCTGCTGGAGAGATATGTTTATGGTGAATGTACTGTTGGGTACCATAGCTTAAAATTAATTTTTCTGGCATGCTTTGATGCAACTTCTGAGTTTATGCTAAAGCTAACCTCAGTTCTTGCTCCAAGCAAGTGATATCCA